TTTAAAGGGTTGCGCAATGTAGCCAATCACAGACTCAGCTGTTGATTTCTGGAACGCAATGGCCAACCAGAGGTGATTAAGTTAGAATCCACTCACAGCAGTGCTGAAATTGCGTGCTCACGAATCGTCTCATTTTAACACACGAAGTGTAGACATTGTGAAAGATTCATTGTGAATATGTTCATTGTGTTATAACAGAGCTTTATGAGATCGCGATGAACTGAGATGTCAGCTTTTAGTGATAATAAAGGAAGAGCTGCTTGCATTCCGCCATGCCAAACCATGCAGGCAGCAGCCCATGCTTGCTTTTCTGTTAAATATAACAGTGGTTTGTGAATGTTGCCTAAATAACAAATATTTTATCGGGAGCATTTATGCTAGGATGTTATGGATCTTAGGAGATGTTACAGAACCATTTAATGTAAATGTCTTTGATGTGCTGAAAAAAAATCTATATAGATTACTTTTTTGCGGGTGGGAGCGTGACAAATCATGAATGTCGCGAGCGAGAGCAGGCCCAGATAAGATATTTTTCTGCGGGAGCGGGCGGGCGCGGGACAGAATCTTGCGGGCAGGAGCGGGACTGAAAAATCCATCCCGCGCAGGTCTCTAGATGGTACCCCCGCCTGTGAGAGGAGATCCCTCCTGATGGGAATCTCCCACGGAGATCCGTCGAGAAGGGAAATCAGGTCCGAGAACCATACTCGGCCCGGCCAGAACAGGGCTACTAGTAGCAGAAGGACCCCGTCCAGGCGGATCTGGTGCGCCAGCTTGTACAAGGGGCGCGAACGCAGACCTCCCTGGTGGTTGATATAAGAGACCATGTTGTCGGTGCTCACCAACACATGGCGAACTCTCAGGTCTGGGAGAAAGTATTTCAGTGCTCGAAATACAGCCAACATCTCCAGGCAGTTGATGTGCCAAGTGAGATGGCGACCGCTCCACAGACCGCGGGTAGGGTGGCCACTCATGACCGCACCCCAACCGGTGAGGGACGCATCTGTCGTTAACGTTATGCGACGACAAAGAACTCCCAGCACCGGGCCCTGTGACAAGAACCAAGGTTTCCTCCACATTTCTAAGGCACAAAAGCATCACCGCGTGACCTTGATCATGCGAAGCGGATTTCCCCTCAGGGAAAACCCCTTGGTCTTGAGCCACCACTGTAGGGGTCTCATGTACAGCAGGCCAAAAGGTATCACGTTGGACGCAGCTGCCATCAGACCCAGCAGTTTTTGAAACTGCTTGACAGTCACAATCCCTCGAGAGCTGACTCGGCGTGCTTCGCTCCCAGACAAACAACACAAAGGCTGTGTGTATCCCCACCCTTGATGTAGCTAGGGCAGCGAGGAACACACAACCTAAACTGCTGTTTGCCTTTATCACCCCCTTTTTTTGTCTTGTGCTTAGACTTTGGCATTGCTTTTTCGTTTGCAAAAGTGACAGACAACGGTAAATAGGACATACACACACAGAGCGCTTCGCTGAATGACAGAAGCTGCCACTGTCTCCACCTCACATGCTTTTATAGCTTCCTGGTCACACGTCACCCCGTCTGTGACATCGCGCCCATACATTGGTCTGATTACACACACGATTCAGAGCATAGTCACGCTGAAGGCGTTCCCAAAGCGTTCGATGCAGCTCAAGTTCCTGAAGGGGAACAGGTCTTTCTATAGGGCTGCAAGCAAAAACCTAGCATGCAGTATAGAACAATTCAAGAACAAATTCATGAACAAAAGTCTTTTGATTGAGTTGGCCTCATGGGATGCATGCAAAAACAAATAAAGTCTGATTCACACATTAATAATTCTTATGAGTGGTTCTTTTAATGAATTGTTAAAAAAGACAAATGCAGGAGCCACCATTTCAATCAGTCTGATGAATTCACTGAATGAACTCACTGAATTCCTCAGAGCAGCTTCTGAATCAACTGAATCTGATTCACTAGTGAGGAAACAGAGTCTTTCAGTTAAGTCAAAAAGAATCACAAACTCAGAAATTATCCATTCTAATTAACCTGACGAATTCCTCTCTTAATTAACTCACTGAACCCACCAAAGTGGTTACTGAAACAACGTATGACTTAACAATGTATGACAAGTGAAAAAATACATCTTTAGATTAAATGGGCCTCGCAAGATGCATGCAAAAACAAACTGATTCATATAAATGACTCTTATGAGTGGTTATTTTAAAGAATTGTTAAAAAAGAATCAGAAACTCAGTAGCCACAGCTTGTATCAGCCTGACAAATTCTCTGAATTAATTAATGCAAGCAGATACTTAATTAACATCTGACTTAGTAAAATAACTGGTGAGAAAACACAACTTTCAGTTGAGTTATTCTCGCTGGCTACACGCAAAAACAAACATACAGCTATAGTGAGAGTAGCCTGTCGACATTTATGAGCAATTCTTTTAACAAATCATTCAAAACAACTCTCAAGAGTTACTGGTTTGAAAAGCATTTTCGCTGAGGTTATTAGAAGTAAAATGTTTCTTTTTTATTCTTACTAACATTTCTTTTGTAGTCAGATTCAATCATGTTTTGAATTTCTATTTCAAAATAATTTTGAGTATTTATTTATTTCAATTTATTGTATCCTAAAAAAGTCAATAAATACAAATAAAAAACAACCATGCAACCTTTCAGATAAATAGCTTCCTTTATCTGTTCCTAGCTTTCTTTCTAACTGAGCACCAACTAGATTTCTTTATTGGTATGTTTTGTTTTGGTTTGGTTTTTCCTATGTAGGTCACTGGTCCATCTGAAAAGTCAAATTGTAGACAAGCTGACACATTCCACTTGATTCCACAGAGAGAGAGAGAGAGAGAGAGGGGTCCAAGTTTAGGCTCAGATAAATAAACCCCTGTACTAAATGCCATCCCTTGATTCCAAAGAAACGTCTTTTCCCACTGAGTGCCTCATCAACACAGACATCACTACTTTGCCCATGCTTGTCTCCATAAATTCTTTGGAAGACTATGCAAAATAGATTTCCCAATTTGACCTCTCTATTTATCGTTGAAGAGTAAAGCTCTCCTCTGATGTTCTCTGATGTTGGATAGGCCCTGTGGAGAGCAGCTTCATCCTATTTGTCAGCTTCCTGGGGTGACCCATAGTTCACTGAACTCTACTATCACTCTAGACACTCGCCTCAAGCTCACATATCTTTTGTGAGGAAGTAAAAAAGGCCAAAAGACATACAGTACAATGCACAATACATGTTTTCCTGAATGGTCTAATTTGAAGACTGGCAGGTGAGTGGCTTAGTACTATCCTCACCACAGCATGTGTTAAAAAGGAATGAAAACTTTTTATTTTTGCTTTTAGCAAGATTTTCAATGAATAACTTTCAGACCATTACTCACACAAAGCTATTGGATGGCTTTAGAGGGCTTGGAATATAATAAATGACTCGTCTGAACTGCTTTTTTTTATATTTTTGGTCACAGTCTACTTTGGCTGTATGGGGAAAAAAGCCACTAATAATTTATTAACAATGTTTAATGTAATCTTCTAATGAATAAATCTCTAAATGAATGTTTATTGTACACTGTAATGTTGTGATGCCTAAATTCAGTTGTAAGAAGTAAAACAATTTATTTTAAAGTAAAACAATTTATTTTAGTAATTATTTTATTCTTTTTTAGAATTTTTTTTTTTCAATTATAAAGAAAAAATAATATACATTTTAATATCGCTCACAATGATTGCTGGCTTATATGTATTGGCTAGAATTTTAATATTGCTGCATTGCTAGTTTGGAGAGACATGAGAGTTAGCAGATGATGAAGTGAGGGGGTGAGCTGTCCCTTTAAATAAAGAAAATGTCAAATATAAGCAAACTGCAAATATTACGGGGGGGGAAAAACTGATGGTCATAGAAACAGGTTCCCTGCAGGTTTGCAGAAGTCTAGGAATGACTCACCACTCAATGCCGGTGAGGATTTGCATAGAAGTTTAGAAACCGAACTGCATTGGCATTATGAAGTACAAAAATAGGACAAAATGGCTTGTAAGCCAACCTTTGCAACATCATGTTTCTGTTACATTTTGCAATTTGTCCCAGACCCTGCTTGTTAAGTTCATTTAAGGAAAGGAAACAACACTCACCAGCCCATCACAGTTGTTAATGGCGACAGAGGCTCCAGGAACATCCGTGATGTCCCCTATAAAAGTGCAGTCAGTTTTCAGCAACTCTCTTCTGAGTATTCTCTCCGAGTCGGTTCCATTCTCAGTCGCATTCCCAGCTATTTCGATCTCATCGTGCCATTCCACCATGGCTCCTGGAGCCAATAATCTTTGGTTGGGATGTAGTCGGAGGTGGAATTCCTTGCCAAAGACAGTGATGTTAAAGAACAGCCTGTCTACCGCTTGTGCTAACCCTTCCAAAACTTCCCGCTTCACACGCTGCTTGTGATTGGCCGAGAGAAGATGCGAGAGGTAGTGTCCCTCTGCGTCTGTACTGATGGGAGTAATGAGGCCATATTCTTTCAGACGGATCTTCAACAAGTCTGATAAAACAAAGACAAAAGTAAAATTTCTCTTAATTTTATTAAAAGTTAATTATAAAAAATTACACATCTCATGTTACATGTAAATACATGCTGGATTTCAAGTCCTGATGGATAAAAAAAAATGTCTAATTAAAATTTTTAAAAGGCTAAATAAATTTTGTAATAAAAAAAATTGTGTGGTTATGAAGTCTACTGAATGGCTGTTTATAGCCATTAAACTGCCTCTTACATTTCAATGCCATTTTATTTGAATGCCTGGCTTGCCTCTTGACATATGAATGATGGTTTGCATGGAGGAAAACATTTCAAATAGAAAAATGTGCCAGAGCCAAAAACTCTTTGCCTTGCAATTTATTATGGCAGTTTTGGCTAAGCAAGATATAAAACGGTTTACCTCCCATGACTGACTGTTAGGGCTTATACAAAAATAAAACAATTCATTCAGCCATCAATTCAAATAGAACATTTTTAGGTCAGCTATCTAATATTGAGGCTTCCTAATATCTGTTTGACACTGCTTAAAGAAGACGCAGCCCTTGAATCTTGTTTAATCGAATAAACATCCAAACATGGTCATATAAAGAAGGCATAAAATATTGTTCTTTCAAAACATTAAATGCTTTCCCTCTGCATATCACTCGTTATGTTATAACATTTTTGTTAACAATAATACAATAATTTCTGTCATTTACTGCTGCTAGATTTAATGAGTTTCAACATAGAGTCAGTTTTAGCATGATTTACTGCATCAGTAATTAAACTGAATGTGGTTGAAAAAGTGCAATGAACTCATCAATGCAGGTTGTGATTTGACACCATTTTACTCTGCTTAAAAATTTAAGGGATCAAGAATGAGGTTACACTGGACAATTAATGTCTTGAGGTTTTCCGACTGTTCATTAAAAGAGAGAGAGAGAGAGAATGAATTCTTTAGCGAATTTATTATAAGTCTAACTGACTAAATTATATATCATCCTGTGCAATTTGCGTGTCATTCCCAACTTTAACTAGCAAACTATTAAAGGTGTTAAAGTCTGTTCAAAGTTCTTTAGAGATTGATTTGCATCATCTCTTAGAGTAACCTTAGGGCTAGTTCTGTACTCGCTGTTAAACAGTTCTGATTAATTTTCTCATTAAAATATTTGTCATTAAACATTGAGAGGAGAAGATGCAAGTGATAACAGTTAAACCCCACATGACTTGGCAGAGTGCTGACTCTAGTTTGCACTTTGCAGCTGTTAATAAATTATTAATGAAGCATCATAAGTTTTAAATAACCTTAAAAAGAAGTTTAAGAAACAAAAAGAGCATACAGATATCGGAAAGGACCGCAAGGCTGTATACTTTACCTTCTTTATCTATACTTTCACCAGCCTGCAAGAAAAAAAGAGAACAAAGAGATAAAGAGACAATGCATGAAACATGCAGTCAAGACATTTACAAAACACTATTGGTACAAACAGAGAAACCATAAGGGATGTAAAACTGTCATGAGAATATCCCAATCTGACATTCAACTTTCAATTTCATCTGTGGCAAGCCATTTTAACATGCATATCTTTAAACAAAATAGTATCTATTTTTGTTACTACTACTTAATTTTAATTACTAGGACCGGTGGCAGAGGAACAAGTAACTCATCCATTGTTATTGTGGTTCAGATATCAACTATTCACTTCCTATACTAGTTTTACTAGCATTAGGTGCCAGTACATTTTTGTTACTACTAACCATCCAAATAGTTACTAGTATCTATTTCAGCTTTACTGATACTTATTAGACTTTAGTATCCCATCTCAACTGTTATTAGTAACATTTCTTATCTAACTTTTTAACTAGTTACTAGTCGGTATGGCTACTTTATAGATTTTGTAAAGTTAAAAAAATGTTACTTGTAACAAATACTACACAAACTGGAATAGTAACTAAAAAGTACGGATGAATAAATTGCTCTGAATAGTCAATATCTGGACCTCAGATACACAAAGAATTATATAGTGAAAAATATGCAGTGTGTTATCAGTAACAGTGTAATAGTTACCAGAAGCAATGCAATAAAGTACTAATTAATCAACAAGTACTATTACCTGATAAGTTACTACTGAATTTGTTAAAAGGAATAGATATGAAAACAGCTTGCCATATTTCACGTGTTTTCTGACATGCCAACTTTTCAGACAGTTTGGCTATTGGTTTGACAGCTGGGAACACTCTCCTAAAATGCGCAAGTTTCTCTCTTGTATTTGGTTAATACGTTTCTTTAAACACTATGCATAATACGAACAGGCAGAACAAACTCAATATACTGGTATGGGTATTCTTGTAACCGGCTTAAATTTTAATCAAATTGATATGAATTCGAATCGTGTTCCAAGCGGGAGGACGACTGTCACACCTCACACATCTCCCGCGAGCTTTCACTTACAGATCACTTTCTATACAACTTTACGTGCATAAACAGTAAATCATTAACACTTACCAGATGAGCTGAAGTCAGACTTACTACAACTCCTACCATTAGTAACCTAAGTGACAGGACAACCATCACGAGTCGGGTTTTCTCTACTGAAAGACGAGAAACAGAAACTATAATCCAAATGGGATGTTTCAGTACGCGCCTGTCTACTCTAAAATTGTCGCGCACTACTTATCCTCAAACAAGTGACCTTAAAGACTGCTTAAAAGTAAGCCAAGAGTAATTAATAGAGTTTAAAGTTGTAGAACTTGGGTCAATGCGTCAGTTTGGTAAACTTATAGGAAAGACATCCCTCTGAAGAGTTGTGGTGGTTAAGTGGAGTTGAGCTGGCTGGACAGAGCCTTGTCTGAGCTCTAACCTGGCACTTCGCGCTGACTAATAAACTACAGACCAGCCCTGACGCGTGACGTCATTTTCTACCCTTTCCCAGGAAAGCACATGGTGGAAAAAAAGAAGAAGAAAAGGAATATGCAAAGAAAACTCATGGCGATGCTTTTCTCAAAGCGAGCTAGTGTGAAAGTGGTAATGAAGCTAGTTAGAAGAGGTTTGAGATGTAGAGTTTGAGATCTCCTGCAGATGTAAAATCCAGCTACTCCTGTTACTTGGCAGGTAATAGTATAATATAATAATTTTGCGTGGCATTAAATGTCACTGGTTTTGACTTCCATACATGTTAAAGTTAAAATTTATTTAGTGTTCATTTTTATAGTTACTTGACTTTCCAGTGACTTGACGCAGCTTTCCTTAAAACAGAGATAATAACAGCTCACTGTGCTTGGAAATTATGTTATGTTTTTCCTCCCTTTCTGATGAGGAACAGAAGGGAGGGACACAGCAGAGAATAGCCTACAATCCTCTCCATCTCAATCAATGTTTTGTTTAATGGCCTTCTACAAGGTCTTTATATCAGCCAAATTGGCTAAGACACAAATACTGGGAAATGCAACTCATTTCCGCTAATGCAAATCATTACTGCTGTATTGTCATTTCTTCATATGAAGGGACGTGTCATATGTGTGTATACTTCTGAGAAAAGAAAGAAAGAAACTGCTAAGAACAGACTATTTTATTACTGTTTAGAGGGTTGGCTCAGTTTCCAGTCCTGAGTGTAATAACAAAGACAACCTTTTTCTCAGTTTTCTTGACCCCTTTGAGGTCGGATTCTGTATCACAAATTTATTTAGCACTTAAAAAAAAACAAAAAAAACATCTTTGCCAGATAACATTGGGCTACTATTGTACATGTGTCAAGCATTTACTTACATGTAAGCCCATTTGATTTCTCATATCTATGCAAAGACCTAACACTTGCAGTTTTTACCTTTGTTTCTTCTCTTCCGAACTATTCCAGGTCTTCTTGATGCCTTCAAGGCCATGTGTCAGTTCAAATGCATTACAGGTGAGTTTTAAGCAGAGGTAATCTGATCACCTTCACATCTGCAGACCTCATGTTTTCCCTCATCCCTATTTAGGCATGACCTCCACTGTCTGGGTTTGCTCCCAGACCATATCACTCAATAATAGCCCACGTTCAGTGTCGACTGTCTATAATAAAGCAGTTTCCATCTAGTGACATTTTTAGCATGTTTTATAAACACATACCAATGTTCTTATTTTAAACTACGAATTTAGAAGTGTGTATAACTGTAAAGACAAAAAATAGCCGATTAATATTTTCTATATTTAATACAATCACACCGGCGTGATTAGAACGTTTAGTATGTCATATCATCAGCTGCTGAATTCAAATCTGTGTTCGCTGGCTGGCGCTGAGCCTACGCGTTTTTAAAGCTCTGCGCATTATAATCAATCACACACAATGCTGTTGAGCTTATGAATGCAATGACCAATCAGAGGTGTTCCGATGAGTCATCGCTAAAATGCCCTGTTTTCTTCACTCTCTTGCTGACTGAATACCTCTTTCTGGCGAATTCTCTCGTCAGAAACAGCAAAGTGTAAATGTGTGTACGAATCTGTAAGATAATTAATTTCATAGAGTAAACCGCTTCAGTGATTTTAATGGGAGTTTTTGAGAGTGCTTGAACTAGACTGTCAGTGAAAATGTTCTTTGTTAATGTAAATGTTCTTTGATCTCTTTCTGTACAATTAAAGTGTTATGATTAGTAGCCTAACTTGCAATGTCAATCACACACAATGCTGTTGAGCTTATGAATGCAATGACCAATCAGAGGTGTTCCGATGAGTCATCGCTAAAATGCCCTGTTTTCTTCACTCTCTTGCTGACTGAATACCTCTTTCTGGCGAATTCTCTCGTCAGAAACAGCAAAGTGTAAATGTGTGTACGAATCTGTAAGATAATTAATTTCATAGAGTAAACCGCTTCAGTGATTTTAATGGGAGTTTTTGAGAGTGCTTGAACTAGACTGTCAGTGAAAATGTTCTTTGTTAATGTAAATGTTCTTTGATCTCTTTCTGTACAATTAAAGTGTGTAGTATTAACTATAGTGAACTGATAAACTGTAATAAATACTGTAGTATACTTTAGTTTTTACTACAGTAAACTGTAGTAAACTTGTAGTATAATCAACCCTATAGTTGTAGAAAACTCAGTACAGTATTGGGTAAAGTAATTTGTTTATATTACTATAGTTACAGCAACTATAGAATTACAACAACAAATTAATTCAAGTACTTTACTATAGTATGGTTCAAAAACACTATAGTATTTACTATAAATCATTATGGTATTTTTTCATGTGGGGCATTTGGGAATGTTTCAAATAAACAGGAAAAAATAAATAAAACGTGCTGTTGTGGCTGCTGTGTGACCCCCCCGCCCTTTCCACCAACTCGTGCCCCCTCAGAAATAATGAGTGCATGCTCCTATAGGAAACGGTCAAAGAATGGCAGTATTTCTCTCTCCCTGTGGCCCTAAACTCTGGCTTCTCTCCAAGTGTTACCGGTCTGCTGCTCAAATGGTATATGAAATTTCAGCTGTATTGTTATCGTTGATTAAAGAGGTGCTCGGAGGTCCTGAGACTCTGTCTGCACTCAGGTCCATACACTCTAAAGCTTTTATTGGAAGGTAAAATTGAATGTCAGCAACCCTTTTGTTTCGTGCCTCAGCTTTGATTCTGTAAAGCCAGACTCCGGCTGAGTAATGAGGTTGTAAAGTGGTCAATGAAACAATAAACTATTTGCAACTGTGCTGACATTAAGAACCATACTGTTCATGTAGGGCGCTCCTTAAGTTTGAGGCCTGTCACCTTTCCTAATGTTTCGCCTTTCAGCCAAGCATTTCACAAGATCGTTTTAAAACACAATACACAAATGTGAAACGTTACCAAAAACTGTAAGCAATTAGTCATGCATTTTGTGGTTAATGCGAAATGAGGAATTAAGTCAGGAAGGACCATTTCCAGAAACAAGTCAAATGCTTTCTTTCTTAAAAAAAAAAAAAATAAGACACTTATGTTTTGTCTAATGTGTGACTCAGTGATCAGGCCATCAGACCACACCTAACAACAATTTGCAACGGACTGACCTTCCTGACATCACAAAGAGCATTCTGATGGCTATGAAGAAGGTATTTGAATGTCACGCTGTCCACTTGCTGCCATCCCATCTTTGTTTTCAGACAAAATGTTTGGAGTACAATAGCAACTGATGGCATGCATGCCAAAGTCACAAAGTGCATCTAATTGGTGCTTTGACCTCCTGAGAGCTTAATGGTAGTTTCTGTCTATGCACATCTTTGAGTTAAAGAAAAGATTCAGCAATAAAAAACTGCCCTGTAAAGGCTTTTCACAAAGGGAAGGACAATGCATTTTGACATTTTAACCCTTACTAGTCCTATTCCGAGGGCAAGACCATTTTTACGGCCCCATTTATCCATTTATATTCTGTACCGTTGTACAAGATATATATATATATATATATAAAAATCAAGATTGTAACTATAAAACATAATTTCAATTTTATAACTCAAGGAAATAGTGAATTTTTAAACTAATGTTTGTATTATCCTAAAACTGTTTAGCTGCAACAGTCTTCAGCGTGTTGTCATGCTTAGATACTGTATGTATATGAATGTGTTATTGGTGTTTTACAGTATGAGTATTAACTCAATATGCAATGTCAGTTTCGTCACCTTGGAATTAAAGGTTCTATCTGACATTTTTGTCAAAATTGAGTTATTCACATATTGTTATTCTGTGACAAATTATATACATTATGTGATGTTTTTTTTAAGCTGTGTACATTTTAGGACTTTTTAATTTTTTTTAAAGGTTCTGTCTACAGAGTATATGGAATGCAAGCTCACTTTGAAGCTCAATATCTCAAAACCGCTCAGAATGCAGATAGAACCTTATAATTCCAAGGTGGCGATTTGCAGAGCATTAATGATAAATTAAATCCTGTGAAAATCAGCCGCTGAAGTCTATTGCCGATATATATATTCATACATGGTTACATGGTTACAGATGCCGTCAACTTGCTCACAGTGTTCACGGACCAGCGGCCCATAGAAATAGCTGCTAATAAGGCATCGATGCATGGCTGTATACATTTCTCTGTTTTCGGTAAAGTTCTTTACCAAAATATAAAAATATATTAAATATACAGAATTAGCAGGAGACTACTTTCATGATACTTAGAAACCCACACCAACCCGGAAAAACAACTGTGTTAACAACACTTATTCACTTAGTTGTGCAAGAAATGAATGCAAAAGATGTCAATCACTTAACGAAAAACACACACAGACACATACACTTGTGGTTTTGCTCTTATAGTCTTGTACAGATTTAAATATGTAATACACTGTGCATGTCTTTAATGTCTGTACTTCTGCTTTTTCTCTCCTTTTTGTGTGTTTGTAACATTATTTTAATAGTAAGTTTGTAATTTTCAATTTTGTTTTTAGGGTGATTTTGTAACATTCTTTCCAGGGACTACAGAACATTACAGTAATATTTGTTAGTGTGCACTGTCCCTGTATAAACTAAATAATAAAACTATACTTCGTCTTCATGATGATAATAATACATTTTAATATTCATTAATAATACTAATAATTAAATATATATTTATAATGAAGTGATACATTAATTCATTACAATCACATTAAGCTGTATATACTGTATTATTTTTTGAATTATATGTATTAAAGCTCAAGCATTTAATTCCCGACCTAAACTCTTTATTTGATCTGTTCTCAAATGGGTTGTAATTGTTTGATTGATCTTGGTGTACAGAGAGATAACATTAAAAGAAAAGTCAACAAGAGGAATAAATTTTCCACCATGTGTGTGTGTGTGTGTGTGTACATAACCATATTTTGGGTACAAATTAGTACCAAGAAGTGAGCTAATCCTAACAAAACCTCCCAAAATGTCCCTTTGGGAATGTCCTCATTTGTTAGTATATATATATATATATATATATTTATATATAAAACTACGCCATAACAGAAAGATTTAGGATGGTTGACATGTACGGACAACTGATGAAGTCCCACTTTTTAAGTCAGCTTGATCAAATAACATGTGGCATCCTTTAAAGGGGTCATATGATGCAATTTCAAATTTTCCTTTCTCTTTGGAGTGTTACAAGCTGTTCGTGCATAGATAAGATCCCTAAAGTTGATATTCTTTATAAAAGTTAAGACTTGTCCACGCCCTCCTAAAACGCCTCATTTAAACACACCCCTACATGTCTACGTCACTGTGTGGGGAGATTTGCATAACACCGACCGAGTGTTCACGCAAAGAAAGAAGGCGTAACTTT